ACCCTATATCTAGTAAATACTAGAGCATTCGCCAAGGTACAGGATAGTTCTAGAAAATAGGTGGCGCCACACCAGTCACATGACCTCGATGACGCAACAAGTACTTCTCTTATAATCTGTTCACCGTATAACTTGTACTAATTAAGTGACATCACATATCCTAGTCTGATACCCTGCAGGGTATTACACCAAGCAAAAGCTAGAGCACTCCCGAAGGAACAGGATAGTTCTAGAAACGTGGCATGACACTAGTCACGTGACCTCGCTGACGCAACACTGCTGACTGGTAATATTTGTGGGCTAGTGTTGTTAATCTGTCCTTGAGTAAGGGGATATTACTAGTTTTGTGTATATAAGTAGTTGGGTTAAATTTTGGCAGATCTGCTAAGCTGTAGTTTGATTTGCCACTTCTCGTTTCCACCTTCTTCTTTCTTTTTCTATCTTACTTCAGACACCAATATGTTACGTTTCTGCTTGTTTGTTAATTTCCGGTAGAAATTATTTCTGAGGAACTTCAGGGATACAAATCCTTTCTTGACTAAACCAGTATATTCTTTCTCCATACAACTTTTAGTATACACAGAATTTCCACAGTCACTTTAAACTTAACAACCTTTATAACACACGTATAAATTACAGTGATTCACACCCTTTACTTACGATGTCTACTGTTCGCTTGACTCAATTATCTATCTATCCGATTCCGATGGTTTTTCTCGCCAGGCTTATATACTAAGAAAGAGGGCGTCCTGAACAAACTTGGTCTTCCCTGATAATTCATGATAATTCGAGAAATTCATCACGTGTTACCAGGGTCACGTGACTTTCGCTGTCTTAACAACCCGTTACCTACCGTGGCCATTTTGCCCTATCGTGAGGGCAAAATCACATTTGTGAATCGAAAAAATTATAAAGAACTTATCTTTTATTGGATGTCAGATTTTATTTCTGTAAATAATGGCATAACATTCAATTATTTGTACAGAATTGTATTACTTAATGAAGTTTAAAGAGAAATTTTAATTTAAAAAAATCCTAAAATACGTCTGAGACTGTAAATAAACGCTCTCTAAGAAGAACAATTTTTTTCAAAAAAATTCCTTCCACTTCAGCACTGGTCCTGCCATCTATGATTGGTAACTAAACCTTTTTCTAGGCTGTTTTCTTTATAAAACAGCGTTTGGGCGTGTTAAACCTCAGTTATAAAACTTTTAGCTAATCCTAGTCGAAGGTGTCAATTTCAGTACCATGTTATTCCAATCCCCGTATTTCACGTTTGACAAATCATAGGATGATAAGCAAAGCACGTGACGAAACGTTGTTCTCTGGATTTTACAATATGAATGTGGGTGGTGCTTATTATAGTAACTACCATTTTATGTAGAGGTTGTATTCAGTATTGGCCAATAGTGCTTTTCTATAAGCGTTAGAAAACTTGCTTCTGGAAAAAAACTGCATGGGATGTAAGTGACTTTTATTATTTTTATATAGTAGCGTAAGCCATGCTGCATCATATATCTATTTATATTAATCATTATATTGAAAAATTAAATAAAAATAATTATATTTTTTGGGAAAGAAGTTGATCCAAGATTGTTAGGGTTAAGAGCTGTCGAGTGGCGAGTGCAAGGTATTTACATGAATAAGACTTAGCACTTTGAACTGAAACAGTTTGTGATTGTTATATTCTTTTGCATTTAAATTTGTAGTTTTAAGTTCAATAATTTAGCGTAATTTTATATTTAGTCCATAATAATAATAATAATATGATACAGTATGTAAAATGACAAACTTGTGTGATTTGTACGTAATACTACTAGTACCAGTACCACATAAGAATTCTATATTTTTCCTTCTTACAATCTTTACTTTGTAGTAAGACCCACACTTTTATTGTTATTGCTTTAAAAATAAAACAGTCTAACTGATATATATAAAGTTTATTCTGATATCTGGTAAATGGTTTAAAACTTGGTGTAAAAGTGACACCAATAAAACCCATATGTTGGTTGTGAAAAAGACTAAATACATTCCTTTCAATAACACAGGGGAGCTACTGACATTCTCACAGTTGGGGTCTCAATACACTGAAGAGCTTAAGTTTCGCA